TAAAGAAAAACATAAAATTTCTATATTTCATACAGGGGGAACTTGAGAAAAATGGCACTGCCCCTGGTCAAAAGTAATGTTAACAGAAATGTGTGCACTATTTGCATGTGTTTATTTCACTTTATTTTAGTTAAATGATAGATTTACTCACTTGTAACTAACATTTGCTGTCTTTCCCCCATTTCACAATAATTAATTATTGTAACTAAAACTTATCTCTCTTTGACTTAGCTGTTTTTGGTAGTATTTAAAAGTGAATGTAAAATTTCCGGACAAAATAGGAACGGGCACGGGGCTGATACAGGAATAGGCACAAAACTGTTACCAGTCCCAAGACTGTCCCTGATTCCCTCCTCCATGGTGAGGTTTTAGGCATGACATTGGTTTGGGCCAGTATAAATTTTCACAACATATACTTGTAGTTCTTCCTAATAAATCAAAATGTTTCTCCTTTATGGTGCCAAATATATTCTAGACTCATTTTTATCAAGTAATTGTTAAAAATTTAGTTCCATGCCTTGGGGTCGGTGTTAGAATGTCCATGTTAAGAAAAATAAGTGGAGCATAACAAATTTTTCCTGAAGTGAATTTTATTCATTTTAAAGACTGTCTTTTATTATAATGGCATTCTCTTCCTTCTCTCTAATGTTGAAATAAATTCTTCCTTTATGAAACAATAGTGACAGTAGATGGTAAATGTTGTAATATATGCTTAATGTTTTTAATTTAGCCAAATAAAAAAAGGCAAACCTGTATTTCTTTACCCATTTTTTTTTCCTACTGGGGAGGACTGATTTTACTCATATTGGAGATCCAAAAGTTTGAGACCAACTGCTCCATATTCTGTTCCGTGCTTCAAATGTTGTTATTTAGGAAGTGACTGAATTAGATCAGAGCCAGGAGAGAAAACAATAGAATTTCAGTGATGTTTTTCAAGTTGTGAACTGCTGGATACTGATAGTTTGTTCTTTATTCTTTGTTCTAAAAAGATATTTCTAAATTGAAAAGACCAGAGCTTCTGAGTAAATTTAGAAAGTATTTTCCTCATCCACACAGAGGTTTTAACAGTCTACGTTTCTTTGGGGTTCTTCGCTATGACTTCAAATTAATCATTTTCAGAATACTAGTTTTTCTTTTATTAGAGAATCTGAGGTTAGCTAAAACCCAGCTGCAAACTTAAGACAGAAGGGAGAAAAGCCTGACAATGTGAAGCAATGCTTAATTATCTCAATATATACAATTAGTCATTTACACACACTTAAAAGCAGAGAGCTGGGATGATGGAGTCTACTAGAAAAAAATGTAACTAAATATTACTCGGTTTTTTCACTTTTAGTAAAACTTCATCATTACCCTTTCTATTTACCTGTTACCTCTTCACTCTAACCCCCTCTTTAGATTTATTTATTTATTATTTTTGATACAGGGGCTCTCTCTGTTGCTTAGGCTAGAGTGCAGTGGCCTCATCATAGCTCACAGCAACCTCAAACCTCATACTTCTGGGCTAAAGCGATCCTCCTGTATCAGCCTCCCAAGTAGCTGGGACTATAGGCGTGCGCCACCATGCCCGGCTAATATTTTTATTTTTTTATAGACATAGTGTCTCCCTATGTTGCCGGGCCTTAAGTGATGCTCCTGCCTTGTTCACCCAAAGTGCGGGGAATATAGGCGTGAGCTCTGTAGAATTTTTGGTTTGAAGTCCTGATAATTCTTTAAATCTGCGGTCTCCATCCCCTGGGCAGGGCCTGTTAGGAAAACAGGTTGGCGCATCACTGCCTGAGCTCCGTCCACCCTCCCCGCCCTCCCCACCCGTCCGTGGAAATTATCTTCCATGAAACCGGTGTCTGGTGCCAAAAAGGTTGGGGACCGCTGCTTTAAATGATCTAACCGAAAAAAAAATCTTGTTATTTTTAAGGACAGGGAGTATTTATACTTTGTTTTTATTTTTAAATATAGATATGAATATCAACTTAAGCTCTCAAATCAATCAGTATTTTTGAAAATTTTTGTAAAATATGCCATCTAGGCCCTCTAAGGATAGAGTTCTAATATAAATGCAAACAACCTATCAATATGTTTTAAAAAGGAATTTTTGTGAAAAGGCAGACCTATTTCGTGGTCTGTCCAAATATTCCTTTCTCTCTCGCAAAATATCTCGGATCTGTCCAATTCATAAACTCATATTTTCTGCTCCCCCCCGCGCCAGTATTTGTTAATGTTTCCATTCTCTAGTTTAGTTCCCATTGATTGTTTATTCAATCAATGATCTTTAGCACTCTTCTTTCTGCCTCACTGGCCTCTCCAGGGCCCTCACGCCACCCCCGACTCAATCCCAGCAGCCTGGTTCCCCTGAGACCCCAAGCCGTCCGGATCGCCGGCGGTCCCTGCACGGGGCTGTCCCGTCCCCGCCGGCGGCCCCGTCGTGGGTCTGCTGCCTGCAGTGGAGCCGCCCGCGCGGCACGGTCGTCCAGGTGGCGCACGCGCGCCCGGGCGCAGCAGGGCGTGAGGGCACGGGCTGCTCCAGCCGCCTGCGGCCCGGGGCTGGGGTTGGCCCGAGCCTGGAGCAGGAGGGAAGCGGGCAACACCCCCGCGCGGTTCGGAGGACAGAGACCCAGCCCAAGGCAAGGTCGCTCGCCCGGGAGCTGCGGCTGGGTGGGGGCTCCTTCCCGGGGTGCGGTGGTGCCCTGGGACGCTCGCCCGGGCCTCGGGCACGCTGGGCATCCGGCGGGGCGGGGCGGGGCGCCCTGGGGGCCGAGGCGTGGCCGAGACCCGCGCGGTTTCTGGCGGACACGAGAAGCCGCAGCGCCTCTCAGCCGTCGCCCCGCAGCCTCTCCCGGCTCCGCTCGGCCTGCGAGTCACAGCTGCGGGACGGGCCACCGCGAGGGACAAGGGCGTCCCCGGACCCAGTTTTGCGGGTGGCGTTTGCTTAGGGTCGCGGCGGCGCGGAGGACTGGAGAAGCCCGCGGGGAGGTTCCGGAAAGTGCCGGGGGCTCCGCAGGCCCGGGCCGCCGTCGGGGTCGCGCGGCGCGGGCCGAGCTGGGAGGTTCCGAGGCCGGTGAGCGCTTCGCTGACTTCTCGCCGACCCCGCGCTCGGCCCTGCAGCCGCCCGTGTCCCTGGCCGTACCTCAGCACCCTCAGCACCCCCGCGGGCGACCTCCGCCTGCGAACCTCCCATTCTGTTTCCCGGGATCCCCCCTCCCGCGAAAAGCGGGCAAGAGCTGCAGGTGTCGCCCGCAGTCCGGACCCGCGGTCCCTGCCAGAGCGGCGCCGGGACGGAAGGAAAGGACGCCTGTGTGGCTGAGACGGGAGCTGGCCCGGGCCCCATGCTCTGGTCGTGGCTGGCAGGACTGGGGGCCGGGATGGCCTTCCTGCACCTCGTGCAGAAGCTCCTGTTCCCTTACTTCTGGGACGACTTCTGTTTCCTGACGAAGGTGGTGCGCAACGGCATTGAAGTGGGCATGTGCCAACGGAGAGGCCAGCTGCTCACCGTGCTGGGCGCCTTCCTGCGCCACGCCGAGAGGCAGCCCCGGAAGCCCTTCATCGTCTACGAGGGAGACGTCCACACCTACCAGGATGTGGACCAGAGGAGTAGCAGAGTGGCCCGCGTCTTCCTGAACCATTCCTCTCTGAAAAAGGGGGACACGGTGGCTCTGCTGATGAGCAACGAGCCAGACTTCGTCCACGTGTGGTTCGGCCTGGCCAAGCTGGGCTGCGTGGTGGCCTTCCTCAACTCCAACGCTCGCTCCGGCTCCCTCCTGAATTGCATCCGCACCTGCGGGCCCAGGGCCCTGGTGGTGGGCGCAGGTAGAGTATGGGCTGTGGTCTGCTCAGGCAGAACCGCGCCCGCCTGCTCTTCTGACCTTCTTTTTGTTTAGAATAGTTCATAACTGATACTTTGGCTGTGTGATCAAGTATGCATGTTAAGGGTACAAAACAGTTTTGCAATTTGTGACAGGGAGTTTAACACCTGGCTCCCTTTTCAAGCGCTTACTCTGTTGTGGATTAGTAATATCACACAGTTTCAGAAAACTTTTATGAACTTTCTGCTTCCTCCCGTTTTGGGGGTGGGCGGTTTTACTGTTATTGGTACCTTCAGCGAATGCAAGAACACGGAGAGATAGAACTTGTTCAGTTCCAAATTTTATGAGCTCTGACGAAACGTTTGATGAGTAGGAAAGTTATCTTGACTCCATTGTGGAATACTTACACCTCTCTAATTGTAACTTTATCAAGGATGACTACATTTGCAGAACAGGAATGTTTAATCATGAGTGCCTGAATTCCTGTCTTCATGTCTGCTCTTAGTTGACGCTGTCCGCAAGCTAGGATTTGCCTAGCAAGGTAGGGCTCCTGCCTGGAAGCCAGTGGGCGGCTCTTGGCAGACTCCAGCCCTTTTCTCTCTTCCCTGCCCCCATCTGTGCATCATTTTCTTTCTTTCAGTAAGTTCTACCCTTCCTCTTCCCCCCACCTTGGATAGGATGTCATTGGATACAAATATTTATGCGGAACTGTGAAGAAAAGTCTTTGACTTAGTGCCTAATTAAAAAAGAGCCTAGGAAGATGGGTTGCTTAACAAGATGGAATTGAAATGTGAGAAATGATATTTATTTGGGATAATCTAAATGGTTTATGCAGATTCATTGTGCATGGGGGTGGGAAGGTGCAGGAAGAGGAGGATCCATGGCAAGGACCTTAGTGAAAATATTGAGGTAGTTTAGATTAATAGATACATATTGATACCTCATATAGGGTTTTTACATTCACAGAGTGGTGTGGAAAAATACATTTACACACTGGTTGTCTCTAAAAGTATAGAACTTTCCAGGTAACCTCTGTCATATAATATCTGCACATCACACAAAAGCGAGTTAGGCAATGTACAGACAAAAGGCTAGCCCCTTAAGGCTACCACTCTTACTGGTTCTCAGCATCCTTCCCCCTCAACTTGTGGCCTGATAAAGTGGCAAATGTTTACTCTTAAACACTAATTTTATCTTATTTAGGCCACAGGAATAGAAGGTTCAGTGTTTCTCTTGTATTGTTTGTTCATTTTTACCACTTGTGCAGAGGCCAATAAAAATGTGAATGCAGGAGTAAAAATGATCAGCATTCATCTCTGGATATAATCTCATAGCATATCCCACTGCCCACACGATTGCTCTATTTAATTAGATCGATGAGTCTCTGGAGCAAGTGTAAACTCCAAATTATGCTCAAAATTGATGAAGCCTTAAATTCCCTTTAGGACAAACTAAGAGGGCCACAGTATCCCTGAAAACATTTCTGTGGCCATGATGTTGAGGCCAACCTGAGAAATATCCCAAAGCCAGTCTCCTGAGGGATTCCTCTAAAAGTGCATAGAGCTGGTTACCTCTCAACATAGAGCGTTCACACTTTGCTGTTGACTGAATTGTTGCTTATTAGGACTAATTAATCTTGCAGTTTTACTTGTGCCAGCGTTGCTTCGCTTGCCAATAACTAATTGCATTGTTTCCTTGTTTTTGTTATTGACACCAACAGTCAGTTTTTGTACATAAAAAAAGGCACTTTGGGATGCTGGAGTTTTATGCCAAGACCTGTTAGTCAATTGGCTCAGTAAGTAGGTCACCGGAGAAATCAACCATAAATTTTACTAACCATTCTTTTTGGCATACCTCCAAAACATGAAGTACATATGTTTTGTAAAGATGGGATAATTCTGTTTTGATTAATTAATAGATTTTTTGATGAGATGTAGCTTAGATCATAGTCACTTTTCTGCATTTAAAGCTCTTACCCTAAATACTGTATTCTCAGCATCTTGAGTCTCATCAGGGAACTATATATATATTATTCTTAGGACTTTCTGCATTCTTGGAATCTCACCGGATGTTTCTGATGGAGATGTACTATTCAATCCTTGTATCTCCAGGGAGAGTATATTGAGGTAGAAAGAGGAGTCAAGTGGTTTATACAGAGATAAGCTGATCTGAATTTCATATATGGTCTGCCACTCCCTGGCTGTGTCATTTAAGATAACATGATCAGCTACCCTGAGTCTCACTTTTTATTTAGTTGTGAAATGGTGATTATGTTGTCTACTTGACAGTGTAATTCTGAAGATTAAATGATGTAGCTTTTATACAGCGGCTAGCTGAGTGCCTGATTTGTACTAATTAGATCCTTAGTGAATTAAAATAGTTGCTATCAATATTATGATTATGGAGTAATACCAGGGCTTTTAATAAGGGATTTTGTTTGGATTTTGCTACTACAACCTAATTTCTGTAAGAAAGACTATTATATACACTCTTGCATCACTTAACAGAGTTACATACTAAGAAATGCATTGTTAGGTGATTTCATTGTGTGAACATCATAGAGTGTACTTACGTAAACCTAGATGGTGCAGCCTACTACCCACCTAGGCTATGTGGTACGGCCTGTTGCTCCTAGGCTACAAACTGGTACAGCATGTTACTCTACTGAATACTCTAGGCAATTGGGAAGCAATGATAAGTATTTGTGTATTTAAACATATCTCAACATGGAAAGGTATAATAACAATACAATATTATAATCTTATGGGACTACCATCATATATGCCTTCCATCATTGAACAAAATGTTGTTATCATTGACTATGTGTTCGCAGTCCATTAATGGCAGAAGTAGGACGCAAGCCCGTGTTTGTCTGACTCCGAGATGTGTATTTCTCACCTGCAGCCTTGCCACCTCTCTGAGCAGGCACAGCCTCCCTGTCAATCGTTTTTGCTTCTGCCAGTATTCAAGCATCGTTCCCTTACAGTAAATACTTGTTCAGCAGATATTATAAATAAGAACTTCAGGGTCAGTGTCCCCATGGTCAGTAAAGACAAAAAGATGGATGCATCAGTGTTTAGAACACTGCCGTTTCCAGCTACTGAGTTATGAAGCTGTTTGAACTTCCTGTTAAAGTCAATTGTTTTATTTTGGAATGGAGATAATCCTTGAACTATCTGAGTCTAAGATAGAAAAAAATGCAAAATAGCTATTCTACAAATACAACTAAAAATTTAGAAGTGTCCTAAAAAGTAAAATAGATATAATGTAAGGATATCTTAGTATATAGATAAGATAATAAAACTTCACATGAGCCATTTTTTAAATCTATCTGAATACGTAATGCTTTCCGTAAAACTTTAAAGGGTCTTTATTTTCCTCAAAGTCTTCCTCTTGTCCTTGAAGAGCAGTTGCCTTTATGATTGATGTCATTTGGAGAATTGCAAGGGCTCGATTATTAACCGAATCCTTTGCCCTGCAGTGAATGGAGCGTGAGGCTGCATGCATCATTCTCTTTCTAGAGAAGGGTGGGATTTTTACTTTTGTGTGAAGAGAAACCCAAAATCCTTCAAAGTAGGTTGAACCATAAAACACTATCAAATCTAAAGTAAGAGTTCAGGATAATATGAATAGTGTTTTTCAGCTATCTATAGCTACAATGATGTAATATGTCATATATTAGCAAAGGAGAGAGAGCAAAATACATACTACATGCATGTAAATCTGAAACTTCATGGATGCCTAGTTTGTCTGTAGTGCTTTGTACCTTTTGGGAGTGGTGGTTCTAACACCTAGCAACATTGGTATCGACACAACAAAGAAATCCCAAGCTTATCTCTATCCTCAAAACCAGTTACCAAGTAGACAGCAGAGAGTGGACGTTTATTAGCAAAAATATGCAAGTAAGTTAGAAGTTACCAAGTACTCATGTGTACCTGATAGTTTTTTGTTAGGTCTTTCTTTTATTCATTAATTTAGAAAATAAATATTTATTGAATATGTCCTTTGTCCTAAGTCCTGAGAATTTTGCAGTGAACAAAACAAACTTCCTCAGCTCTAAGAGCCTGCAGTCTGGATCTTGACCTGTTCCTCAAGGCTATAGCAGTATCTGTCTGTGAATCATCCAAGAGAACTGTATGATTCCATCAGGTTCTGTAAATAGCTGTAGTGTACCTGAGGCAGGTGAGTTCAGAGGAAAAGATACTGAGAGAAGGTAGATAGATAGAAGGTTAGAGAAAAAAGGAAAGGGATGGGGAAACAAAGGGGAAAAGAGAGGGGATGGGAGAAGATGGAGATGACGGAATGAACAGGAGCAGAAAGGAGGACACAGTCAAAGGTGACACAGCAGGTTTTTAGATTTAGCATCAGAAAATCTGGACTCCAGTCTCCATACTGCCTTGCCTAGGTGTATGAACTTGAGTGTATTATTTGCCCGTAATAACCATGCTTTCCTCATTCTTAAAATAAGGCTAATTATCTACCTCTCATGGCTGTAGTGAGGATCACAAAAATAGTGTGTAAAAACAGTCTGTAATCTATAAAGTACTTTAAAATGAAAGGGATTATTGTTTATCATAATCATCATTATTTTGGCTAAAAATGTCAAAGGATATAGAGATGATTGCATATAATTTTTAAATGATATACAAGCACCCCAATATTTTTCTATTTGTACTAAGAAAAGCATAGATCAGTAGATGATAATCTTGGCAGCAGACATTATTGGAAATATCAGAGATGAAAAATTGAGGGGAAAGTTCTAGGTTTAATCTAAAACACCTTAATTTTCGATGAGTGCTGAAGTTTTCAGGAAAAATTGAGATGTCACTTGATACATCTTCTAACCCAAAATATACAGACTTTTTTGCCAAGTATTTTTGAGTCTGCAGAGCATGTGGGAAGGAAATAATAGTTTTATTAAAATTTTGATTTTTTTCCTAATTATGTATGAAAAACCCGATGGCAACTTTCATTTTCATTTTATATAACCTGAATGCATTTTTA